AATCTCATTTCATTTTTCAAGTTTTCTTTAAGCTAACTTGTATTATATGTATTTTTTAAATAAAAATATACATGTACCCTTGTTTCCTATTTTCTCCAATGGGGAAATATTACTGCCTTGCTTGAAATTTTGTTTCCATGGTTAAACCAGAACTCTCAATTTTTTATATTGATTAAAGGAGAACTATGGGGTTAGGGCTTTTCCCCATAGTTCTCCTTAGGGTAACGGGAGGACACAAACTAGCGTCCTCCCGTCATCCTAAGCTCAGTATACCGCGAGCTACAGCTCGTGGTATACTGAGACGCTGAAGCGGATCCCGACAATTATGTCTTGATCCGACCAGCTGCTTGAGTGACCGCTGGCACTGCCTATCTATCGCAGTTAGTTGGTTATAATTTTGGGTGCTTACGAGACATGTAGTAGCAAATCCTGTAATTTAATGTATACCTTTTGAAATTGCATTTTTGCTAATAAAAGCTGCAAGAGATATATTTGAAAATATAAGCTAATTTTTAGAATGTTTTTCAGGTAGCTTTCATTTGTATAGCAGTGGCATCAATCTCATGTATACAGTAGTTGTGCCAAAAGGGGAAAATTGTTTTCTAGATACATTCTGCAATTTTCCCTTTCCCAATATCCTCTTCATATCATCCCTTTAAAAACAAGGGCTGCTCTTCTGAATTGGGTAATGTTTTCTGACTTTATGTGGCATGGAAGTAGAGCTGCAGCTAACGATTATTTTCAAAATCGATTAGTTAGTAGATTATTAAGTTCGATTAATCTGGATTTTTTTTAAATGGCTCCAGTGATGGACTACTAGTTTGTACTGAGATTGCAGTCCATCACAGGAACAAGCTTGGAGCGGTGGAAGTAAAGAAAACAAGTGTGGTGTGCAATATAGTGAAATGGAAAGTGTAAAATTATACAGCAATCAATGCAGAATGGCACCGGCTATAGAGGACTACAAATCCCAGCAATAGTACATTATACAGCGCAATGCAGAATACCACCAGCTGTAGAGTACAACAAAAATCCCAGCAATACATTGTAGCTGGTGGTATTCTGCATTTCACCACTGTATGATGTATTATTGCTGGGATTTGTTGTGCTCCTCCTATAGCTGGTGGAACTTGGCATTGTACTGTATAATGTATTATTGCTGAGATTTGTAGTCCTCTATACAGCACAATGCAGAATACGACCAGCTATAGAGTACAACAAATCCCAGCAATAATATATTACACAGCGCAATGCAGAATACCACCAGCTATAGAGGAGCACAACAAATCCCAGCAATAATATATTACACAGCGCAATGCAGAATACCACCAGCTACAATGTATTGCTGGGATTGGTATTCCTCTATAGCTGATGGTACATTGTGCTGTATATTATACAGAGAAATATACCATCAGCTATAGAGGAATACAAATCCCACTGTCGGCAGTGTCATCCCCCCAGGCCTGGTCCTCACTTCTTCTCCCTGTGCCGATCGTGGATGCAGGAGGTGAGTGTGAGGTGCAGCATGTGGATGTGGGCGGGTCTGGGTGCGGCGTGTGTGGAACCGTGAACAGGGCCAGCTAATCGAAAAACCGATTAAAAACGTTGACAAATTTTTCAATCATTGATTTATAATCGGCTTAGTCGATTGGTTGTTGCAGCCCTACATGGAAGGATCCCCATCCTGCCTTTTTCACAACCAAAACAGAAGTGGCCACTAGAATAGTCAAAAGCTCACAAATCAACACCACCTTCTGGACCCTGGTCCTGAACTGGAGCTGTTGGTGCATGCATATTCAGATTTAATGGTATAAAAACATGTTGTGGCTGTTCTCTCATCGAACTCTCTCATGCTTTCAGCAACAGCCTGGCAGAGAAATTAGCTCACTTCTTCTAGCTGGCCTCATTCATTTCAAAAGTGAAAGTGGCAATTGACTGGAAGGAGAGAACTTATCCGAATCCCTTAACCCCTTCATGACTGAGGCCTTTTTTTCATTTTTTGTACCCCTGTTATATTCCACATTTTAGGCCTGATTTTTTTTGTGTATGCTGCCTGTGGGTTACCTACATTTTGCACTTCTGGCATATGTAAGATGTTGACACTAGCAGTTTGATATGGTAAGTAAACAGTTATAATGAAGTTAATGGATCCTGCTAAATTTGGTCTTGGCATCTAAACTTCACACAAAGGTTAAAGTACCATGGTTGCCAAAAAAAAACACCCTGTGTGCTGTTACATGCGAGGCTTCCTTGACCCTCCCTCCCCACACTCATTGTCCTGAGTACTGGAGATGCCAAAGGCGCTCAGTGCCCTTCAGCATGGAGCACCTGTACTTTTGACTCCTTTTTATAAGAATTCCGCTCAATACTGAAGGGCTTACAGACTTGTAGCAACATGCCAGGTAGCTGCAAGCTTGCTGCCCCCTTGCCATGAGGTTGTCAGTCTTCTGTCTGGGAGGGGGCAATTTTTTTTATATATAATGATTCTCACTTAACCCCTTGCCATCTGCCCATTGTCAAAACAAGGGCGGGCGGTGGATGCTTCCCTTTTTAGCACCTATGTGATAGCAATTAAGTGTAAAAAAAAAAGTAAAAGTCTAAAAATTAGAAAATATATATATTTTTGTTTAATTCCCTTGTCCCCGCACTTATAAACGTAAATACGTGTCGAGTAGGTGGGAAAATAACGATTACGCCACACGTTACATATTGCTGTGAACGTCTGAGTGTGAGCAATAATTTTAGGGTCATTAATCACGGATAACACTAAACTGGTGAGCAGTAAAAGCTTTTAAATCGTTGCCTATGACCAATTTTAGGCATGGTAGTTTTTTGCAATTTCGTTGGCGCACGCAATTTTAAACTTTACATGTTTGGTGTCTATTAACTGACGTGACCCCATCTTTTATGTTTGACCAAAAAAATGGGTACTTGCCATTCCCACTGCAGTTTATGTCCCTCAGGCTCCTTTGGTACCTTCTTTGAGTCCTTGGCCCTCTAAGATAAAGGCGGAATGTGTGGATGGGGAAGGTGGCAAATAACATGTACACTGAACTCCAAAAAGGAGATAATTTTATACTTTTTCTACTACGCACCTTCCTCTGTCCCAGTAAAAAATTTAACTGCGGAGCACTTTCCAACCTAGAAACGCTGGCATTGGTTTAGCACAGGGGTGCCCATTAGGTAGATCGTGATCTACCAATAGCTCTCAAAGCTGATAGATCATGAAGAGTGTGAATGGCGGCCCCTTTATTCCATATTGGTATATTTATTTAGCGGTGCACACATGATTACCTATTAGCCTGAGTCTGCTGAGCTGAGCTCATGCTGGTTTGTGAGTGTGCCATGATGCCGTTCTACTGTTCAAAGCCCATTTCGTGTGCACCTTACTGTATAACTGGTAACAAATTGTTGAGTGCGTTTGTCGTTTGTTTTACCGATTTGGTGCAGCGACGCATGGGGTTTCTCAGCTGCCAATGGGATGTGCGGGATCCCTTGTGTGTTTCTGTACCTTTAAGGAGGTGGGGCGTCCTCCTGACAGGCCTGCACCCAATTTGATATCTTCTGCCCCCATGTGCTCCAAGATGGAGACTCTCATAGTTTAGAGTTAGGACCGCACTATAAGAGGTGCCTTGGCGCGGCAGTGCGGCTTACACATCCTTTGCAGAAGACGTGTATCCAAACCTCTGTCATTGTCCTTAGTGGTGAGACAAGTTGTTTTACATGCTGGTTTGTGAGTGTGCCATGATGCCTTTCTACTGTTCTACTGTTCAAAGCCCATTTCGTGTGCACCTTACTGTATAACTGGTAACAAATTGTTGAGTGCGTTTGTCGTTTGTTTTGCTTTACTGAGCTGAGCTCCCTGACACCTTTCTGGTGCATACTGGTGGTTGAAGAGTATCGTGCCTGTATAGAGTATCCACTATTCAGCATCGAGGAAGCATCTCCCCGCATCGCTTGCAGAGAGCCACATGGAACTTCGCTCTGTTGCTGCGATACTCCTACAGTGACCTCAGTCACCTCCGGCCATCCAAGCCTCATGGCTACCCAGGTTTTGTTAGTACCTGGGGCCTTGCCTCTTACATTGCCTTAATGCTGCTGGTCACAACATGTTTCATCCAGCGCAACAAAAACACCCCACCCCAGGAATCCAATTCAGTTCTATGGCCCCTGTTCATGCCTGCTGCATGAAATACTTCATGAACTAATTGGGGCAGATTCAGCACATTTTCTCCACATTGACTCAATAGAAAACGCTTGAAAAAAGCACTTTGCGATTTTTTTAGAGCAGATTCAGCACATTTTGCCCATGCGCATGAATATGTCAGAATCTGCTCACAATCAGCTCAATATGCCACAATCTGCTCATAAACATGCTCACAAATCGCTTAAGACGCGCGGCTTAGGTGTGAATGCAGCCTAAGAGCACATTGAAAACAATGGCTGAGATGTGCATTGCTGTGAGGAGTTAAAATGCAGCATTCCAGTTCTCCACTTCCTCGATTATTAAGTTGCATTAGTGAAATAAATGAACTTTTGCACGATATTCTAATTATTCGAGTCTCATCTGTATACTAAAGAGAGTAGCCAAGCAAGGACTCAGGAGACAGTGACACACCGGAAAAGTGAGTAGCTAGAGGTACACTTAGGAGCATGAAGGTATAAAGTACCAAAGTACGTCAGAAATGTGCGTTGCACATGCATACAAAGAGAAGCAGGATAATAGAAGATAAAATGCAAGGTGTAGCACAAAGAGGTAAATGCACACAGGGAGTGTCACGATAGAAGTATAGCACAAAGCTGCAAAGAAAGAGTGGAGCTTAGAAGTAAAGGGGTAAATGCGTAGCAAGGTGGATACACTGGAAAGGTAAGTAACAGACCGCTAGAGAGAGTTAGCCAGAAGTAAACAGAATGGAAGTAGGTAGAAGAAAGCAGACACACAATGGCTGGAGTGAGAAAACACAGAAGTAGTTAGGCAAGGAAGGCAGTATAGAGAGACTCACAGCACACTGGTGAAGCAAAGGGAAATCTTCAGCAAAATACAAAAAGGTACACACTGGAATACTATAGCAGGGGATAACGCCAAACAGGGATACCAACTGGTACAGGGAAGCCAAAGGCACAAGGATCCAATTGTAAGCGCAGGGAATAAGATCCCAAGGATAGTTAGAGACACAAGGGGTATGGAACAAGGCATAAGACTTGTTGCTCGCACAAAGAGCAAGAAGTGAGGAAGTCCTAAACAGGGGAGGAGGAGAGCAGATTGGCTGCAGCCTTGTGAGACACCATAGGCTGACAGCCCAGAACCAGGGAGCAAAGCGAAAATCCGGCACGGATTTCTGGATATTGTGACAGGTAGGAATATTTAGGAGGGACCCCGTGTAAGGTTCCCCCTTTAAAGTCAGTGGAGGCACACATCAACCATTAGTGAGAAACTAGAAGTCTTGCCGCACCAAGAGAACTTGTTTGTCTTTGTATCCCAGGCATAGATAATTGACAGGCAGACTTCCTCATCCAGCAGGGCCTAGACCTGGGGGAGCAGTCCCTACACACAGAGGTGTTCCAGGACCTGTGTTTCAAGTGGGCCATACAGGAAGTGGACCTCCTATCTGTGGGATCAGTACACCCTAATCTATGCCTGTCCTTCCCTAAAACCTCGTCCGCATCTGCTCCGCAGGATCGAGATGGAGGGCATTCTGGTGATCCTCATTGCTCTGGACTGGCCAAGGTGGATGTGGTACGCAGACCTGATAAGACTCCTGGTGAAGCTCCGTGGGCTCTGCCAGGTCATCAGAATCTTCTGTGTCAAGGACCGATTTAGCAACCAGCTTCCTTGTCACTGGCTTTAATGGCATGGCTGTTGATGCCCAGGTTTTAAGGGACAGGTGCATGTCTGAATCTGTAATTCCTATGATGCTAAAAACTAGGATCACAGTTTTTGCGATCACAAATGGGTGCAATAAATCTTTTTATTCAGCACGGAAAGAGTAGTACAGTAGTTCAACAGATAGAAAGTCATTCAGGTACCACAGATGACCTTGCAGATAGAATGATCTTTTATTGGGAGTTGAAATTTGTGACTTAGTATAAAAGATCATCCTAACTACAACCTGGCGACCTGGACCAAGAGTCAAGGCCTTTTCCAGGCAGTGCTCCCATCTAACACAAAGCTGCATAGTACTACACATGCACTGCATTTTTTACGTATTCCCTAATGAAGAAGCTATCTGTCTGCAGGCTTGCAAGTAGATGGCTTCTTCATTACAGTCTATAGTGAAAAGGCAGCACAGCTTGCTGGCTCAGTGGAGGAACGGAAATTCCACCTAGCTTAGCCTGAAGCTATTGGCCCAGGTCGTCTGCTGATCTAAGGTTTATATTGGGAACTATTAATATAGTTAGAACAATTGTTGAACCTACATAGTTGTAAATGCTATTGAAACAGGTATGCTGGTCCAGATATCAGTTATTTACTAAAATGTGAAGCAAGGAATGTATGCAAGACCAGGAACATTTAAAATAACTATGCAATGGCAGATTCCACATTTATTTTCTGACAGGATACCTTTACAGCTAATAAAGTATAGAGTTGGAAAGGGGCACACAATGAAAAAGTAAGAAGCAGGGGGCTTTATGTAAAGCATAACTTCACTAAAAGTAAAGTTGTCATGTGGCACTGTTGCATAACTCATTATAGGGCCCTATTGGATAGGTTTCAAGACCTTTGAGATTCATGTCTTAACTGAGCTCTCTCAAAGAAGCTACAATTCAAGAAACCATGTAAAACCACTGCCATATAAAGGAAAAAAACTTCATATTTCTTAATACAGGTTTCTTGTGAAAGTTACCTTAACATTGCATGGACTGGGTTTTTTAATCTGTCAATTAAGAGTGTAGCCTTTGCACAGGTCATGTAAAGGGGTGTGTGTAATCTGATTGAAATATTGTACAATCAGACCATTAGTGCAACAATCATATGCTCAGTTTTTATTAAAGTATCCAACAAGAGCATCCACCAATTCTTGCTTTTTCCCACCCTTCAGACCATAACCCCGACACAGTTCCTTTAACACAGGCACAGTCAATTTTCCCAGTGTTCCATTCTTCACACTGGCCCTAAGCTCATCTTCTGACATAGAAGTCTCAACTTTAGCTTTCTTCCCGGCTTGACCGTCACCTTCACCTGCAAACATTGTAAAATGAGCCACAATGTTAACATTTAGAAATTTTGACATGTTGGATTAGTAACCAATGGGACATATAGCTATATCTAATATTATTTGTTTATATATTAAAGATAATGACTAAATGACTGGAAAACCTTCTCTGTGAAATAGAATGATTGATTAAAGTACATCTAAAGCCAAAACTTTAAAAAAAAATCTTAAATAGAATTCCAGGTCAATAAAATAATAACCCTTGCAGTGGAGCTACCCCCGCATTACAAGGGTTAAGTGCTTATTTTGCATAGGGAGCTAAACTAACTGATATACGCGCTCACCTGAACCGCGATCCTGGCTGGCACCTAGATTGGTCCCCTTCAGCCTCACTCCCCCCTGCTCCAGAGATGGAATGTACCTTGTGTCCCCACGTCCACTACACTGTATTGGACGTGATGACTCACAGGACCTTAGACCACTGGAGCAGAGCTGATTTGGCCGGTTCAAAGTGACAGGAAACTCTGGCTGTCCTCATAGAAAGACTAGGAACACACTGAGCTTCATTGCATTACCATACAATGCAAGAAACCAGGCCTCTAAATCAGTTGCTAGGACAGACAATGTTCAAAGCTAGCTTACAAATGATAATGAAATCTGCCAGCACAGTACAGGCAGGGTTAATTATGGTAAATATTAACA